TCTTATACTTCGGAGCATCTTATACTCTGAAAAATACGGTATGTATATTTAATTGTATTATTATTGTTAGCACTGTGTAAAAAATATACTGACCAAGTCAATACACTGTTCACAAAATATGTTGGTTGTTAAAGAAATATGACCAAAAAAAATATACCAAAAAAAACAATTACAGTGTTTCATTTTTGTTAAATAATACTGTAAAATTGTTCACTCTGTCTTTTCCTGGAATACCATCTGGATTATTTTTGGCTTAAGCACCGCAAAATATATAAATTATTAACAAATGCCATTGTCAATAAAGAAGAAACTTGCACATGAAAGCAAGGGCCAGTTTTAACTGCAAGGACGTATGAAGAGGGCATCGCATGCTGGCAGTATTTTTCAATCTCATTTCATCAAGCAGTGGTTTTATTTACTATTTTTTTTTGCTATTTCTAATTTAAATACTGTTTTGACTATTTTATCATTTGCAAATTAAAACATTTCTAGAATAAAATTAATCAGGATGACTATTAAAATTTCATCAGGACAGTAGTAAGCCTATGATCTGTATGAACATTATTCTCTTCTCTATCACATTAGAATTTGAATATATGTATAGTGTTTGATCAATTTATTACAAAGTACTACACGTTGTTAAACATTTTTTTAGCTATGTGTTATTATATGCTGTAAAGACCCAAAACACTTCCCAAACAAAGTTATCCACAATTGCTGTGAGCAAGCAATTCATGAGCAGTAGGGTGGAGACAGAGAGAGCCTATTTTCTTACCTTAAAACCAAGTCTAGGTGCAGGTATCCAGGTAACAATAATGGAAGTCTCCGTTACTTCGGTGTTATACGGAGGAACTGGTCCTGCGGATTGCACTGTCAAATCAAACGTAAAGCCAGGCTTAGAGACAGCAGCTTATATATGTATTATTTACTAATAGCCTGCTTTCCTACTTAAAAAGCACATCAAAGTGGCTAGCAAGATAATTTAAAATTAGACAGAATTAAATTGTGACTAAAATTTAAAATCACAGATTTGCAAAATATTTATAATCGTACATTACCCATACTAATCACCAGTTACAATAGTCTTGTCAGGTGCCAAAAATTAGAAGAGCTCCAATAATAGTTGAAACAGATGTCTTTATTGTTCATCACCAGTGTGTAAGAGCCTGTCTCACTTTACTTAGGAAACCTAAGGGTCTTCCTCCCCCAATGGACTTTACGCTGGAATATCTTTTACCCTTTTCTATTGCGGCCTCCTCTCCTTCAGCTGGTGGTTCCCTCATAGTACTGAGAGATCATCCATTCCAATACAACATTTTAAATCTAGGAGTAAACCTAATATATACTTTTTTTTAGTTATTTCACATTTGTAAATGGTTTTCATTATTTATTTCAACTCAGTTGAGGAAATTGAGCTAAACAGCGGCTTAGGAATAAAAAACTTCTTTAAAAAATCTCTGCATAGCCATGTCTACTATGTAGCAACTGTGATAAAAAAATATTTTAAAGTTCCTTCAGATTTTATTTTGAATATTTGATACCACATATGAATCACAACCTAGAATGACCTTGTAATATAAACGGGCATGCATCTGAGATCTTAGTCACCAGGAACATTTAATTTGGAACACATACAGGCCAGAAAACACCCAGTAACAGATTCAGCCAAATCTGATATGAACTAACCTTTTTACATCTATCAGTCAAACACAACTTATATACAATAGCTAATTCATTGGTCTAATGTTTTTCCCCCTCTGATTTAGCTATACTGTTGCTCAACCGTCTGCAGTAAACTAGGGGGTTCCCTTAGGTCGGTAGGGGGAAAAAACCAGTTTATGGCAAAAGGAGAGTTTCTAAAAGGCTGCTATTCATCATAATGTGCCATGCTCAGTTTATTAAGTTAACCGTCATGCAGCAATGTATGTTTTCACTCAAGACAGTATCAAAGTAAGCATGGATGAGACTTCAAGTAGGTCATTTAAGTTGCATCTCATTCAAGAAAACGACTTCACTGGAAAAATACAAGAACTGACTAAAAACATTCAAATGATCTTTGTACAATAAGAAAGAAAGAAACAATTGCTTTTAAGTTTTGCCAAACTAGAAATGTTTATAAGAAGGTATATGATTAAGAGACATGCCATAAAACTTAATATTTTCTTTAAGTATAATAATAGATATTTTATAGGCTTATTAGGCAGGAAATGTGCTGAAATTACAGGGTTCTAGAGGAAGATTGATCCATTTCCCCCCACCCCATTGCCTGGATCTCTTTTCCATTTCATCTCCCTCTCTGGGACGGAGAGGGCTACTATTAAAGCAGGAGTCCCCAACCCCTGGTTTGTGGACCAGCACCAGTCCACGAAATGCCGGCAACTGTCCACGTAGACAAGCCAAGCCCCGTCTGCGGGATGCAGGTGGCATGCAACACCATCAGTGGAAGGTTCCTACCGATTTGGCCGAACTGGTAGCAGCTTGACAGCCTGGGTCACTGGAACTGGCAGCGACCCAGGTCTGCCACGCCTCCGAACCGGTTCTCCCGGCAGCACCATGGGGGGCGCCATCTTGTTTTTTTCTTTCTGTGCATAGCAATTTTAGTTGTACTGCGCATGCACGCACTGCGCACATCAAGTGCATGTGCGGCGCGGCCCTGAGCAAACCAGCACTCTGCTGGAACCCACCCGAACACCATGCTCCCTCCAGAAAACTCTTTCTGCACGGAACCAATCCCTGTGCCCAGAAGGTTGGGGGCTGCTGCCTTAAAGGAAGTCACGTAAGAGATCAGCGTTTTCTTTAAAGACTTCGCAAGGTCCTGGGCTTCGATAAATTTCCCAATTTTAAAAATCCATGGATGGTACAATGTTAGATTGATGGTACAATGTTA